TTGGGATCATTTAAATTGAAAATTTTTTTTTTTTGTTCTTAATAATGTTGATGAAACTACTTAAAAATAATTAAATTGTAGAAAATAAAAGTCCAGGCAGCCTAGAACATCATAGCAGATATACACTACCCCGTGATAACGCTTAAAATCTGTAATTTTGGTTTTTAAAAATGGCCTAAACTTAAAACGGCCGTATCTCCGTAAATAATGGAGATAGAGCAAAATGAGCCTTAATTTGGGATCATCAAAATTAAAAAATTTTTTTTATTGGATTTAGGCCCTTGCAACTGCACAAAAAGATATTTAATTCAAGTATTTATGAGTCCAGGCAGTCTAGTAGTAAAAAAACTGAAAAATAAAAATTGTGTCAAAATACATGTAAGATTAGTTAAAATTGGCTGATAATAGGATATGTTACGAACATAAGTGTGGTTTACATTGAACGCCGAGTCCGATCGCGAAATTCTAAAATAGCGACTTTTTGCAAAATTGTTGATTAAAAATTTCGATACCTCGTACAATTGGCTGACCGCAATGAATCGAGATCTGCTTTTTTTTAAATCGGTAGATACTAATGATATCTTTGATCTCTCTAAAAGGTAGATTTTTAAATAAACAAACAATAAAGTTATTTAATACGAAATTGTAACAGAGGACCGTATTTGTATAACTTTTTTTTTTTAATTTCTACCTTGTGGCACTTGATTGCGCTTTTTTCTAATGAATTTGAAAAAAATATATTATTCTTACAGGATCAATAGTAGCTTAAATATAATGCCTACACTTTTTAACTAGTATTTTAGCTTCTATTGACCGTACAGAAATTTTTTTTTTTTAGTTCATTAAAAATAAGACTAATCGAGTACCACTAATTACAAATGAAAAAAAATTGGTTACAAAAGTAGGGCCCTCTGTTACAAATTTTTATTAAATAATCTTATTGTTTGTTTAGTTAAAAACTTAAATTATTAAGGGATCAAAGATATTATTAGATGAAACTTTAAGAAGATCGGTT